CGGAGCTTCCGGGGCTGCCTGGGGGATGCTGCCCGGGAGGGAAGGAGGGAGGCTGGGAGGGGCAGACGGCCCGAGCGCGGGCGGGCGCCGCAGGCCGGGGCGTGGGGAGAGGCGCTTCCCTGAGCTGTCACGCGTGGAGGAATAAGCCCGATCCTCTGGCTCTGAAGGTTTTCCAAAAAGCCATTAATTTCGGGACCAGAGTACTTGTTTGGGGAAAGCAGATAAGCCCTTATGGAGAGGGGAAGCAGCTGGCAAAACTTGGTTGGTTGCTTTGAGGGTTAATTGCCCTCAGGTTATGAAAAAGTGGTGTTGTTTTAGTCAGGGTTTATTGTGAACGTCCAGACCCTGGACGTTTTATGTGCACAATTATGTGCACAATTAATAAATGTGGCATATAGTTGTTGTTTTCTTTTTAAAGCACTTCCGTCCTTGCCACCCCTGCTGCAGTTCATATGGATGGGAATTGCCATTTTGCTGTTTTTCCTGATGTTATTTTAATATGGTAGCACAGAATTGATAAAATCTGTCTACTTTCACATACTATTTTTAAACGTTGTGCCTAGTTTTTTTCTGAGCAAATAGGAGGAGAAGGGAAGGAATCAAAAGGAGTGCAGTAAACATTGCTTTAGATGGTAGATACACAATACTCAGATATAGTACATACAATACAATACATATGCAAATAGCTGTCCTGAATATTTTGAATACAGCGACGTGCATTATTAACTCTGTTTGGGCAATCTCATGTTCAAACTTGACTTATTTTCTTGAATATCTATATGCTTTCTATTGCCTCATATATTTGGTTAAGTCGGAGTCTACCTAGCTGACCCTGCAGTTATTCAGAGTTGCTTTTGTGAAAACTTCTAGTTTAAAAGAAAAAAAGGTTATAAAACCCTAAAATCTTTGTACAAGTGAATATATATAAAAAACATCTAGTGAAAGGTGTCCCTGCCCATAGCAGAGGAGGGGTTGGAACTAGGTGATCTTTAAGGGACTTTCCAACCTCAACCATTCTGTGATACTTTATGGGAGGTTTTCAGACAGTAGTTGAGTATTTAGCAGCAGTGTATTTAATGTAATTTCACTTTGCAATAATACAGTGTTTTCCAAATGCAAATACATCCAACATTTAAAGATGCAAGAGCTGATAGAGCTATACTACCAAACATTTTTTTGAAAATAATATTTACAAAATAGTCTGTTTTCCAAAAGCCATGGAAAATATATTGTTTGCACCTTGTAATTTTGGTGTCATATGGTTTATTCTTGGATTTTCAAATGTTTACAGCATATTCTGACTTGCCCCTTTGCTCTGTGCACGTGTCCATGGAGTGAGCAATGTCTCAGGCTCAGTTTTGAATCGGTTACTCATACTAGAAATAATTGCAAGGCTGTAGAAATGCGCAAAATGCACTCAGACATGTTGTTGAACTGATAACAGATTATTTTATCTTGAAGTGATTTTCTAGTGGCAGGCTTTACCTTGGTAGGTTTGTGCAGTCATATGAAGCCAGCTTGAGTTCGCTGGGAGTTGAGTGCTAAGACACTTCACTGTATAACTGGAGGCTGAGGTAGCACTCTTCAGATAGAAATGTAATGTTTATTTATTTTCACTGTGATTAGTCATGATCTCTTTACTTGATACGGTAGATGATAAAACTGATTAATATTCAGGAAGATACTTGCTTACATACTGGTGTATTTTGTGAACTTGGCAGTGTATGAATCACTTTCATGTCAATCTTTTACTTAGTAAGAACTTTTGATTTTTTTCCACTTTCTCTTTCATTCTTTCAGTATAATACACCCTTTTCACTTATAAAGTTTGCACTCATGCGTACTCTAAGAATATCAAGTCAAGCAGATGGATGTAGACATAAAATGCCTAGCTGTTTTCCAAAAGGCATTTAGCCTCTTTTCCTGGCTATTTAGCTGTATCAAAGGTATGCTGAATCAACAGTGCTGTGGCATTACTTGTCTTAGGCCTTGCGTAGTGAGCTGTCTTCACACCCATTGAGTTGTCCGTGTAGTTCCACAGTAACGGGTTTTTTTTTTTTCCACTTATATTGCTCTTTTGAGCAGTACGATAGGAGTACAGAAGGCTAGAATATTCACCGTGTTTCTTGTGCTAGATAGAAAATATACTGCACATACTCCTTTCTTTATACTGGCTCTCAGAATAGGTTTGGTACTGTTCCAGTACAGTGATTTGGGAACAGTTCTAGAGTTTATAAACGTTATTGTAAACCGAGGTGAGAAATTCAGGTCTTGCAGTCAAGGAGCTTTTGGAAAGGCTACTTGCAGTGCCTCCATCTACCTGCGGTAATTTTTTCCCTTGGTGGGTATGCAGCACTCAACAGATGATCAGATCAACTTTTAAATTCTTTAGTATGACGAGTTGTTTCATCCATTCAGAACATTTTTTTCATTACTTTTATGTAACCTAAGAGGCTAAATAAAACTTAGCAGTGCCTGGAAACTGCCACTCTTTTAGATATCTTTTATCCTTTATCAGTGTGCAAAACTAATGAGATTAAAGATTTAGGACAAATCAGATGGGAGAATTTATTTTTGGAATTGATTGTCCTGTATTACCACTAGAACTTGTAAATAAGTTGTCCCAGTTCTGCCTCCTTTGTAACAATATTATAATTTTATGTTATGAATAAAAAATATAGCATTGATGTAAGGGGAAAAGTTTAAAGGAATGCATCAAGCAGATGTGCTCCTTACATTAGCATGCATCTACTTGAATTTATCTGGTGGAATCTTGACATTTTTGCTCTTCAGCTTACTTTTAGTAAGCATTTATCTTGGTCTATCTGGACACATTATTTTATGTTAAACTACGTAGTGTCTTACTCTGCTGGCCTTTGAGGTGTGGGTGGTTGTTTGTTTTCATTTATTTTAAATTCTTTGATCCTGTTCCTGGAAGTGTTTTCTAATATACTTTTATCACTGGCCTGTTGTTTATTTCAAACAATCTGCAGGCTTTAGAAAGCTGCTGAATTAGCCTCAATGAAACTGCTGTACAATCTGAGTTTAGATGCCAGATGTGATGGGATTGCTTAGGAACATGCATAAACAATCCTATTGCTTAAGCTGTATGGGTAGTATTAGAGGGATTTCAGGGTCATAATTTTCTTTTCAGTTTCATGCTTCCTTTAAGAGTGGAATATAGCATACGGATTTTTTATCTGTAGGCTTGCTTTTGCAAAACTCCTCCTGTGGAGTTGGTGAAAATGCCAAGTGGGGATTAGGATGAGTAGGCTTGTATGCAGTCATTCTTTTTGGTTTTGTCTTTCTTCTTTCCATGGTTACTTAGGATGCAGCTTTGCAGTATTTTTAGTTCTGGTAAGACTACCCTAACAAAGAATATTCAAAGTCTGAGTGTGCGCACCTTAACTTCAGTACAGTTCCATTGTCCCGAATTTGATTAGCTATAACTTTTATTATGAGGTTATATAGGAGCAGCAGTATACGATAAATCATGCAGATGCTCAAATTTCTGCTCTGAAGGGCTTTCAGTTAAATGGGCAAGATGCACAACTGGTGAAAGAGAGGTTCCTTGGTACATGTTTTCTTACGGATGAGTGGCTTGTCTGGTTGCAAGTCAATGCTGCCTGATAGCCACAGTCTTACTTTACTGCAGAATTGTAGCTGGTTTTATTGCCTCTGCTTTTTTATTGGTACAGGAGGTAATGATACGCTGTTGGCTCCAGTTCCAGAGACACTATGCATTTTGTGGGTTTCTTTGCTTTGTTGTAGTTTTTGTGTGGTTTTTGGTTTTGTTTTGAATAAGTTTGATTTTTAAGACCTTGTGATAGTAAGTTTAGCACAGAATTGATTGTGTGATTTGGTCTCTATTTTAGAGTATACGTGTATTTTACACTTTTTGTACTTCTTTGTATGTTTCCTTTATCCTGTTTATTGTGTTGTCTAACTTTGATTTTTATACAAACTTTGATTTTTATATATCCCTGAAGGGTCACCGATAAACTTGCAGTTAAAAAAACACAACGCAGAAACACTTTAAGTTAGAAAAAAAGATTAGACAAATATCTTCAGTTTTATAATCTGGAATCTTTGAATTTTTTCTCTGGTGAAACATAAGTAATCTTCATGGATGGGTTTCCTGAGTCAAGTGTTGCTTTGACCCAGCAAACGTATGGCTGGTAGTTCTGAGGGAGAACCTTAAATGTTCCTTTGCTACTGCCTTAAGCAACTGTAACTGAGTTTTAAGTTTTTGAGGTTCTGATGTAGACGCAATGATATATGTCTTTTCTATAATCGTAGAAAATGATGGCGGATGATTTAGATGAATTTAGTGAAGGTGAGAAGGCCAAGTTGGCGCAACGTATGGCGGAACTTGAAAATGATCCACCTTACATGGAAATGAGGGTAAGAGTATTAAATAGTCTTCCTGAATTTAAACACTTGTATTGCTAGGGTCTTAATTTAAGCTTGCTTTTACTGTGTTCTTAAGACTGTATTTACTATTGAAGTATATATTAAAGATTTATCTATTCAAAGTAATTTCTAACTTAAATACTTTGTATCTGTAGTTACGTAGATTTTCAAAAACCTGTTTGTTGCCAGGCATATACAGTGACATTTGTATTTGACAAGAAGGAAAACTTTTGTAGATGCTTACCATTGTTCCTTCCCCCATTCCTGGGGAAGTTGACTAGCAGGGATGTGCTCTCTGCCCACTCCAGAGCATGGCAGTTGGGATGGGGATTGAAGGTATAAATATCCTCATCATTTCTCTTAGGGAAACTGGGAGATATAAAAGGCAAATTACTGAATCTAATCAAACAAAATCTGTTCTTATCACAGTTTTCCTATTAGGAATTACAGCTTTAGAATTAGGTATTAAAAAGATTGTATAATTTATAGATCACCATTAAATTGATTAATAGTGCCAGTACCTGGGAAAAAGTTGTATCTAAGTAACTCAAGCTAGCTAGGTGTTATGGTAGCTAAATAAAGTCATCAGTGAAAAAGGAGTTTTGATTTGTCTGTTGTTTCACTTACAAAGCCCAAAACAGCTTGAGCTTTTACAATAATGAGTTTTCACTCCCCTTTTTCTGTTTCATCAGAAGGTTATGAGAATTCATCTTTCCCCTCCTATGGTCAATAGAAGTATTTTTACCTAGTCATAATAATTCTCTTCAGAAAGTTCTATTAATTCACTCCAGAAAGTTAATCCTTATGGAGCTGTGAGTTGGGTTTCTTTTTCTTTTTTTGCCTCCTCTGCTCAGAGTAAATTTAAAGAGGAGAATGTTTCCAGCGTATAGTCCAACAAAGTCCTAAGTTCTATGGCAAAGTGTAGTTACAGAGAACAGGCATGTTAAGCTTGCCCTGTAATACTCTGTAATTCTTTCATAGTTTCAAGCAGGGTGCAGTACAGCAAATCAGCACCCATAAAAAACCAGAGAGGATATGTATAAACTATGAAGCAGTTGTGGATTAGGACATGTGGTTTATGACATAAATTGCAATATATATTGTCAACATATTTCATGACATGAAATATATTGAATATACTGAAATATATTGAACTAGTAATTCCTGTGTTGCAGAGAACTATTTTGGTAGTGGAATGTATAACTTCCTTAATACGTTAATACAGCATAACTCTAAATCCCTCTATTCTCTAGTGCTAATAATTATGTTAATAATGTTGTTCTTACATGTGATATTTCTTTTACCTTGTGATACAGCGAAGTGTTTTGGTTTGCTTTCAGAATAAGGAAGCAGAGAACTTTTCTGAGACTAGCAAAATGTTAATCTCCACGGCTAAAGAAAATATACCTCCAAATAGTCAACGGAACTATCCTTTAGGTATAGTATACATTTTTGATTTGTCTTCTAGATTTAAATATCATACCTTTAAAATTTTTTGGAAGGGAATTACTGCTTTGGATTTTTAATTATAAAATGATCATTATATTCTGAGTGCATACCAATTCCTCAGCCTTCCAACTGTTTTGGGATTGTGTGGAACTTTTTTGTAGTCATGCTTTTTTTTTCAAGTAAGGAAAACATGCCAAGCACTTTCTTTTTGTTCTTGTAAAAGTAACTCTATTAAAAAAAACCACAACCAACCAAAACAAACAAACAAACAAAACAAAAAAAAACCCAACAAAAAGACCCACCAAAACAAAAAACCCCAACAAAGCAAACAAAAACAAACCAAAAAGCTGTTTACCAGTCATTGGTAGATTATCTGTCCTTTCCTGTTGTATTTGGATGGAGAAAAACCTTTGGAAGTCCATCTTTCATCTGCATTTTACTGCAAAAGGATAAGTTCTCAGTACTTTGTGCCAGGGAAGTAAGGAGGCCTTTTCTTCAGCCTCTCAGCTGTAGAGTCCTAGTTCCAACTTGGCTAAAACACACACAGTTAAGCTAATTTTTTCTTTTAAATGCTAAGTGTCATTTAAATGTTTAGGCATAGAGTACTGAACTGGTTGTATGGCTTTTGTAGTTTTGTTACAATGTAGTCATTTATTAAACAAGGAAAGAACAAGCACTTAGTTTTGGTTGGAATCTTAATAGATTTGTTTTGCTGTGACTGTCGGCTTAACCACTTTTTTCTTCAGAAATACCTATTGTCCTATTTTCTTATTCTCTGTATACTTTGTGATTTCTGCTTGAAAATGTGTGGTGATGTTCTTTGCTACATTTTACTCTCTCTGTAATGTCCCACTGGTTGTTGCATGTCCTACCATCTCCTTTCTGTGAGCACTACTGATTTTCCTTAGTTCAACTTGTATAGCTCAGGTTTGTCTTGACAGCTTTAGAGCTTTGCTGTGTCCTACTTCTTGTCGATAGGTAACTCTTCTTTGATATGTAGACACTTGGGTTTTGTACCTCATTACTTTTCATACTGTGCTGACTAATTCTGCAGCTTCAAGTGGGAGTAAAACCTGTCCTTTCCTTTTAAAGAAGATACGTCAGTGGATATTTGATGTTTTTTACATAATACCAATCTAATATATCTTTTAAATAAGTATTCATGCTACTCTATTGGGTTTGTGTGGCAGGGTTTTGGTAGCAAGGGAGGGGATAGGGGTGGCCTCTAAGAAGCTGCTAGAAGCTTCCCCGTCTCCAAGTCACCTGCCTCTGGCCACAGCTGAGCCAATCAGTGACGTCGGGAGTGCCTCTGTGGTAACGTATTCTAACTGAAAAAGCGGTGGTGGAGAGAAGGGGAATGGAGTGTGAAGGAGAATCAGGCAGACCCCCAGGTCAGTGCAGAAGGGCAGGGAGGAGGTGGCTGGAGCAGAGGTTCCCCTACAGCCTGTGGTGAGAGGGCAGGCTCTGCCCCTGCAGCCATGGAGGGTCACGGGGGAGCAGAGACTCACCTGACAGCCCAGGGAGGGCCCTACACCGGAGCAGGGTGGTATGCCCAAAGAAGGCTGTGAGTCCTGCTGAAGCACACTGCTCCTGAAGGACTGCACCCTATGGAAAGAGACCCATGCTGGAGCAGTTTGTGAAGAAAACTGTAGCCTGTGGGAAGGACTGATGTTGGAGAAGGTCGTGGGGGACTGTCTCCTGTGGGAGGGACTCCAGGCTGGAGCAGGGGCAGAGTGTGAGGAGTCCTCCCCCTGAGGAGGAAGGAGCAGAAGAGACAATGGGTGATATGCTGACCACAACCCCTATTCCCGTCCCCCTGTGCCACCTGGGGGGAGGAGGTAGAGAAATCAGGGGCAAAGTTGTGAGCCTGGGAAGAAGGGAGGGATGGGGGAAGGTGTTTTAAGATATGACTTTATTTCTCATCATCCTACTTTGATGTGATTGGTAACTAATTAAATTGACTTTTCTTCCCCAAGTTGGGTCTGTTTTGCTCATGACTATAATTGGTGAGTGATCCCTCCCCATCCTTGTCTCGACCTGTGAGCCTTTCCTTCTATTTTCTTCTCCCCATCCCACACAGGGAAGGAGTGAGCGAGTGGCCATGTGGTAGTTAGCTCCCAGCTGGGCTTAGACCATGACAGCTATGCTTAATGCTACGTCCCCTCCAGAATTTTAACAGAATTTGTGACCAGGAAAGTGCGTGTCTTAAAAAAAGGAGTCTGAGCTTCTGAATCTGGATGCCTGAACTGATCTTAGCTGCATAAATTAAAACATGGTTTTTATAAGGAAATGTTTATAGGAAAACTTCACTAAAAATTACCTGAAATGATAATTGAATATTCCTGGCTGCCAGAAGTCATACTGGATAAACTTGGTTAGAGGACAGCACTTGAATAAGTATCTACCTCACGTTTTTGGCAGTTTTATGATCAGCAGGTTAGTCCTGGCGTTGATAATTCTTTGCCTAACTGTGGAAACAAGTGGTGCAGAAAATAGAACACAGTCGGCAGTATCCCGGTGGCTGTGACAGACCCCTACATAACAGTTAAGCTGTTTTAATATTAAATGATGTTATCTCTTGTTGGAGAGCTATAATAGCACATGTCATATTGTGTTTATTATTACAAATTGGACTTAACTGTTGACACCTGAATATAGTAACACACATAATGAAATATTACAGATTCTGAAGGTCTTAAATGAAAAGCAACAGGTAGGTATTGCTGTGTTATGGTTTAACCCCAGTAGCAGCTAATCACCATGCAGCCACTTGCTCACTCCCTGGGGAGAGAACTAGAAGGGTAGAAGTGAAAAAAGTTTTGTGTTGAGGAAAAAAAACAGTTTAATGATTGAAATAAAAAAAAAAAAGTTAATGGAAGTCTTAACCTTTTTCTAAAAAATGAAAGTTGTCAGTGTGATTGTGTGTTATTAACAGAATGTGAAATGGCAAATAAATACAGCAAATATAGATTAAACAAAAGCAGAAAACCAATTAAAAATATATCTCTTACTATAAAGGAAGAATTTAGACAAAATTGGCATGAAATTACCATGAATATATGTTAAGTGGCATATTTTTGCCTTGCTAGGCTCTCCTAAGGTAAATTTTTGAAGTAAATAGTTTTCAAGTATCTCCTAAATCACTACCCATAATTGTTATCCCAGTGCTTTTCTGGTGGCCAGAAAAGAGTCTTCTGTAATAAAGTGAACTTTAAACCCTCTTTTGTTTGAATACCTCATGTATTTGAATCAAAGCACTTTATTCTCATTGGCTTTTTCAGTACTGTATTTTACTGGCTTCTGTGAAGTTACTGAATGAATTTTCACTCTGATGTGTTGCTTTTGATCTTTTTTTTTCCTTCTTGGTTTCCTGTAGTTAATCCAACAGTATTTTCATGTGAATATAAAAGGCAAGAGCAAGTAGCTGAAACAAACCATTTCTTCTGTATTCTTTTCCTCTTTACACTTACCCCTTTTTTGAGGTTGGAAATGGTACACCATTTTTTAACGGACCTCACACTTATATTATGTGCAAAATTAGGAGAAAAGTAACTTTCCCATTGGAGAAGCAGCTCCCATGCTGATTTGGGTTAGTAGTTGAGCTACAAGCTGTTTCCGAACAGTGTATAATGTATTTAATGAGGGATTGGGTTCTTCGGTTCTACAGAACAGCAGACAGGACCTGTTTTGCCTCATAATTATACGATTCTGACTTAGCTGAAACTATCTCAAGCCAAGGCAGCCATGTGTATTTTTACTAAGTATGTTTCAGTCTTTTATCTATTTCAGTATCAGGGTGATTCCCAAGTTAGCAATTTTCAGCATTTATATAATGTCATTTATACCGTGCAGGCACCAGTTAATGCCCTAAACATTTAAAATACTGGAGTCAAACACAGTACCACGCAATAAATTGGGAATGCTGAAAGAAGAAGTCTTGAATACCCCTCTCTTCCCTCTTACTCCCTGCTACTCATTTTAGATAGACCACAAGATGTAGAAATGCTTTCAGAGAAACAATAGGAAATAAAACCACCAAACAGCTGCGATCTGTGTCTCTTGCTGTGTGGTTTTGTGGAATTCACGAGCTCTCTGTGGAGAGTGGAGAAAGGGGCTGCAGAGGTGGGCTTCTGGGGCAGAGAGTATTTCTCATAAAGTACTTTAAAATATATTTTGAGAATAACACAACTTGCATAACATTATATTTTTAAGAGTGCAGCTGTTACGAGAGCTGCCAGTAATCTTGGAAAAGTACTAAATGTGTGTTTCGGGTCTACTTGAATTAAAAACACTGAGGTGGAAAGAAAAAAATGATTGTTATCATATGGACAGATTTCTTCTAGTTGTGTGGAAGCCAACATATTTTTCACATGCTTCCTGCAAACAAGTAGCTTGTTGCTTTCTAGGTGTGCAGTATCTGTTCTGTTGTGTGATAAGCACAGCTCAAGATACCACAGTAATTTAGAAGCTAACATGTCAAAGGAGATTTCCTGTGCAACATACATTGACAAAATAAATACATACAAATATTTAGGTTATTTTATGCTAACTGGTGAACTATCCAAATAAATTCAGTTCATTTTGCGTTTTTTTTTTTTTTTTTTTCTAGTGGGGAGAAAAAGCACAAGGACTAGAGGGGAAACGTAACATCCAAAAACCAATTCCATTTTTCTGTGCTTTCCACCCAACTGCTCATACAGAGAAGGTGGTTTTTCTTTCAGCTGTGTTGTAATAACTGATTGCATAGTTCATTGTTTTTATTGCTGACGTCGAATAAAAATCCTGATGTGGCTTTTGCAGGATGTGTTTTGTATTGATAAAAAAATAGTAGAATAATAATGCTTAACGGCATTAAACTTTTCAGGTGACTATGGATTGAGTTTACTTCTTGGGGAAGAATATGAACGAAAAAAACATAAACTCAGGGAGGAGCTTCAACAAGATTATAAGCGATATCTTTCTCAGGTAAAGCTCCTGGTCCGCTTGCCCGGCTTCAGTGAGTGTTTTAAAATGGCTCATTTTAATCGAATGAAAGTTAATAAAAATCTGTGGAAAATCTTTGTAAGGTGGCATTCGTTATGAGCGATGGCTGATTTCGAGGACTTGAGTAAAAGTAATTTCAAAGTGTCACTGCTAGGAAGAGTTATGTTTTAGGCTTCTCTGGATCTCATTGTCATGAGACCATGTAATACTTAGTACATTTTATTCTGAATATGTCTATTTATTTGTCTCTACTTCTTAGTTTCTTCTTAAGAATTTAAAATATAATCTGTAAACTTTCTTAAGTACCTATGTATTCTGTGGTCTGTAATTCAGGTAAGAATAGTCCAGTAATTAGTGTGACTCCGTTTAACAGCTTCTTTCCAATTTTAGAAATAAAAAACCTTTCATGTTCCACTTAGTGTCATTTATTTAATGTCACAGTAAATTTAAAATTGAAATGGTATGTATGAAATGGCATAATTTTGGGAATATTCTGTATCCCTTCTTAGTCAAACAGAAAAAAAATCAGGAACCAAATTATTTCTGTTGTCTGAAAATGCTAATTATCAGGTGCCTTCCGTTCTTAAAACAATGGATTTGTTTTAAGAAAAGAAGCCTTTTTTTGTTAAATCAAATATTTTTGAATGAAAGACTTTTTTTGAATAGTATTTTTTCCTTGACTTTCAGGGTATTTCACACGCAAAAAAGGTAGGGTGCCTGCAATATAATTTTTTTTTCCTTCAAATTAGTCACTTTTTGCTTTGCTTGAAAGCTTTGTGCTCTTTGAGTTTTTTAAAAAATTATTTCTTTTTTGTGCTTTGTGTATTTGTGCATGCTTAGTGATGTGTTGTGATTAACAGCATTGTTTGCGCAAAATGATTGCTTATATTATTTTCCATTAATAAGATTTTAAACCCCTTGTTGATTTCTTTTTTTCCTTACTACTTGCTATTGTTGCTGTCTCATGCTGACGTTACGGAAGTTTTTCTTTTAGCAGACATTTGCTTCAAGGCTTATCAGCTACATAGGTGTTATGAGATCAGGGTTTTTTTCTTGCTATGCATACTTTATAAAGCTGGAATAAAATCATAAACTCTGAAATATTATCATATGTCATCAGAACCAGGAGTCAGGGCGTTTTCCTTCTCCGTCACTGTGCAGTCACATCAGTTGTGCTTGGGAAAGCAGTGGAGCCAATTATTCAGCACATAGTGGCCAGAATACAAGTGTTGGGAGGAAAAAGTAATTCCAGAGGCACATTTTCTCAAGCTTTGTTCAATTACAGTAATTTTTGATTGTTTATATCACTACACTGTCATGTAGATATGATTTTCAAATTTAAAGTCGTCCATCCAAGTTGTTGTTCAAATTAAGCAACGTCAGTGGACGGGGAGGTAACACAATAGAAATACAATCTTCTGGTTTTCCTCGGGCTTTGAATAACACGCCTAGGAAACAGATAAACTTTATTAGCATGCGTTGGAATTCTTGAATAACGATAGCAACAGCAGGATTAACTGGCTTCTTAACCTCTAACCAAAATGATACTTTCTTGATTGTTGCTTCTTGTTCAGTCTTAAACTTCACATTATTTTCAGGTTAGAATATTGTGTTGAAACTTAATGTTTCATCATTCTCACCAGAGTAACCAAATAATATAATTTTTACATTAACATTTATTGTTTAATTCTCAATTGAACTTCAGTTTTACAACTTTAGGTTTCCAAGTTAATTTGTTTTTTTTCTGGCTGTAGTACACGTTAGCTTTATTAAGCTTCTAAGGCCCGAGGAAGAGATACGATAAGAATCTCTAATTTCCTTTCCCCACAAAAAGAGAGAGTGCAACTTTTAGCAGCTCTAATAGTGATATTATGTTGGTTAATAACTTGTTTAGTCTCATTTATGTAGAAAATGCAGTTTCCATATCAGCTTCTGATTTTTGGCAAATGCCTTTTTAATGTCAGAGTTAATCTCTACAGTGTTTTCAAAGTGTGAAAAGAATTACTTAATAATGAGGATGACAATTTATTGACTTGCTCTAGTAAAAATAACTTAGTTATCCATATTAATCTAGTTGTCTCAGTGCTTTAATATTTGCATGGTTATTAAATCCTTTACGTCTTTCAATGTGTAGTTGTGAAATACAATTCATAATGATGCAGTTCTGTACTGGAACAGGTACACTTCTTACCTGCTGACGTACCTCTAAGCTTTCAAGCTGTCTTACAACATAGATAGTAGAAAGAAGCAATGCTGGTGAAATATCGTATCTAACCCATTCTCCTCATCAGCCTATGCCACACAAATAGATGATATTTTTATTAAAGATAATCAGATTTATAAAACATGGGTGGTTGACTGAGAATGGCCTGGGGATGCTTTTAGTAAATGAGTGATGTGTGAAGAAGCCAGTAGACCTGGAAGCTAAGGACCCATTCGACCATTTGTTTTGAAAGGCTGGTACTTGACTTGCTGCACAGCTCGGTTCCCAAGCTGTGGCCCAGGGAGCTGCATGGAGCAACAGCATAGTATTCTCAGTGGAAGGTTCTGTCCTGAATATGACTGCTGGTCTGGAAGGAATTACAAGATTTGTATGTGATGGGTCATTATCCTGAAGTATTTAAGGACTGCTGTTGTGGAAAACAATGCTGAGAGATAGAGTGGTGATTGTAGTGTTAGTGGGGATTCCATCTGTTAGAGGTAGACATACATTTTCAACAGAAGTTTTTCATCTTAAGTAAGGTAGTGTCTTGGAAGATTCCTCTTATGCTTGAACAGATGCTTGTGCTTATGCTACTTGCTTACAGTAAAATTGAGTAATGGTGGTGTTTTGCTTTTTTTTGAATAAAAATATGTTTTTTTTAATATGCAGAGACTAACTTATGTAATCCTTGAAGCAGTGTAGCAGGGAAGAAGTGACAAACACTTTGAAACGTAGGCACGAAGCTTGACAAAACCCTTGCGTTCCTGCGTTCCTTGACTTCACTTCATTCATGTGTTCAAAGAACATCTTACATTTTCAAAATGTGAATGTTGTCTTCGGTCTTGATTTCATTAAATTGATCAGCTATATTTCAGAAAATATAATTCCTAGCAACTATTTAGCAAGTAAGGTTTGGTATTTTAAAATATATTGATTTTAATGTTTTTTTTTAATGTAGAAAAATTATCTGGCTACTGGTGAAGTAGATCCATATACTCAGGGATTATCTCTTCCTATTGATGAGCGAAGATCTGCTAAGGTAAATATATAGAGGAAATGAAGTGGTATGTAGCTTGAAAATTCATCTGGATATTTAAAGTGGTGTGGAAAAATTATTTCCCCTTAAGTTTTTCTGTTTGGTTGGGTTTTTTTACCCTGTTTACAAATGAACATTTTTGGAGGTGAAGGTTAGAATAATCTTCAGAAACAGTAAAGTCTTTAAATTTTGTCATTGTTTTTAAAGTTTTAATCCTAGGTTACCTCTACTCTTAGTTTGTAGATAACTAGATGTGTAATTCTATACTGATACTAGTTTGAGGTTTGCTACTTCTAATTCATACTTGGTGTGTCCAAAAGCTGTAGTGGTTGTGCTGGGGTTTTATTCAGCAGTAAATATTGATCTAATGAAGATAATTGGTGTTTTATATATATATAAATTTCTAATTTATTAGTCTTATTACTGCAGCCTGGGGATAATTTAAAAAGTATTTGCCTGTAGCTATTTCTACAGTGGTATTCGTGTCAGTTCCTCTCAGAACCAAAGCTTTCTGCTGTACAGGATTCGCTTTGATGTGTTTGTGTACATGTAACCTACCTGCTTATCCTCCTGTGTTTTGTTTTTTTTTAACAGATTTCAGAAATCTAAATAAAAGCTTGTCTGGTATTTCACGTATTGCCTGCTGTTAATATAGGTTTCTTCCCAATTTCTTTGAGAGCACAGATACTACTGTGCTTTGTGAAAGGACACTCTGTGTTTAGCCAGTTTATGGTCTTGTTTTTATATGTTGGAGAAAGATACCAGACGTAACAGCGTCTCCGCTGTTGGAGGGTCACGGAGATTAGAATATGAAGATGCAGCATGCATATGTGGATTTTCTTAACCTCTGATCCATTCCTCTGATCCATAGTAGGATTGTGTGAAACCCTAAATCGGTTTTACAGGGGTTACCTCTCTTCCTGCTTTCACACCGTTGACCTCATATTCCCAGTTCCTTTATAGTGTTTGCTCCTAAATTGATCCAGGAAGTTGCATTGGTAGAAACACTGTAATTTAGTGAATATTTTTGCTGATTTAAGGAACACCACTGCTTGGTTGTGAGGACGGGTCAAACACCAATAAGGCAGAAAGAGAACCTATTGCCGGAGGAGGACTGGACTGTTGCACTCTTCGAGGGTTCTGTTTGCTTTTAGGTTTTGTAACCTGTTGCCTTGGAGTTACGTTGTTGTTCAGTGTTTGGGGCGAGACTATCACTTACAGAATGTGCTGGTCTTGCCCTCACTGTGCTTACTTAAGCTTTCTGCTTCTCTTGTGCTGGCAATAATGTTTGGCCATATGAGGAGCCAGGTGAGAACTCAGTTAAGGGAAAATTGCTGTTACAAGATTGCCCAGAGAAGTTGTGGATGCCCCATCTCTGGAAGTGTTCAAGGCCAGGCTGGATGAGGCTTTGAGCAACCTGGTCTAGTGGAAGGTGGCCCTGCCCATGGCAGGGGGGTTGGAACTAGATGGGCTTTAAGCTCCCTTCCAACCCAAACTGTTCTGTGATTCTGTGATATAAAAATGCCCCAAACTCCAGATTATGCTAGTGGTAAAAAAAAAAAGAAAAAGGGGGAGGCAGCAAGAATGACATTTCCCAGGAAGGGGAAAGGATGACTCCCCAGTGGCAGCATGCATTTGTGCTGAGTTTAACTTCAGGTTCTTGTGAACTTTGTGTTAACCCCTGTGAGTATGTGTGCGGAAACAGTGAAAGATAAAGGATCTTTGATTAATTCTGTGGAAATTAAAGGCTTATCTGAAGTGGGAACATGACTGATCATTGATGGTTTCATGTCAACATTCGTTGAGATTTTCTGTACAAGTGTGTTGTAATCCTTTTTACCCATTTATTTATTGGTATTGCAGAACCCAGAAGCTGCCATAAGGTGTCAGACTGTGCCCTGCTAAACATTTCTCCTCTGGGCAGAAATTATTCAAGATTAACATTTGCATTTTAGTTTCCTCTGTTAAGTAAAATGAGCAGTCACGCAGCATATTGAATTTTCTTCTGAGTGTGTTGCCACCTGTTAAAGACAATGCTAGTTTCTCAGCTTTGGAAAATACCCCTCAGCCAGCTTTCATTGCTGTCCACAGGTTTTATGTGGTCACTGTCAGAAAACCAATAGTCAAAAATTTTTAGAAAAAACCCACAGTTTTGGGGAGCATTGGTCTCATTTGTAAAACTGTTCCTAAGCTGGTATTCCTATGATCATTCTGGTATAAATTATTTTTGTTTAAAATTTGTTCATGGGAAAGTACCCCTACTTTAATATGTTTTAAAACATTTTGCTTTTTTATTGGAAAATACTGCAGTGGAGAAGCAGATGATTCATCATATTGTGATTGTTATTCTCTTTCCGTTGTGTATATGATGGTCGGAATTAGGTAGTATGAGGGATCCCCCATGCTCTAAACATAAGGTACTAATATAAGGAAATAATGCAAATCAGAATTTGCTTTACCTGGAGACTTTTGTATTTCATATTAAATAATTAGGCTATTGATGTACAATCCCTGCATATTTTTAGACCTGAGCAAGCCCTTTATAAATGTTGCTACCTTGCAAAAGCAGCTAGGTCAAGGTGGATAGATCGTGTTTTTCTTAGTTTTCCTTATATTCTTCATGCTTTTGACTCTTTTTGCAGTCAGCCTAACTGCTCGTTTGAATTTGACAGTTCAAGTTCTGTCCTAAGCTATCATTGACACATCTTGTCTACACGTCTTTGTTGTTCTGTTTTAATTATAAGTGGGGCAATACACAATTAACACAAAAAAAATTTGCATGTTTTAAAAGTCGTCCGTAAATACATTAAGATTGGAAATTAGAAGGCCATTTCTAATCATCAGAGGAATGAGGCTTTGGAACAATTTTGGAGTAGGTTTAGCAGGAGGAAACCTAACTGGTTTTAAGAGGCAGCTTGGTTTACTGCAGTGTTACTGGGGACAAGACTTCATGCCCAAGAAGCTGACTTCTGCTTACAGATTTCAGATTAAGAGAAAGTGCTGTGTTCAAGAATGAACAAAAACCTCAAAGCAATTCAACCCCTATTTGTACATCACAAAGAACGGGGAGGGCAGACACATAGCCTGCATGTGTTCATTTAATACTGCCATTCTGTGAAGTTCAAAGCTACTCAAAATGCAGAATTATGATGCACTTGTCAATGCCTGTTTTAGGAGAAACTACGGCTTGAAAGAAACAAGGAATACAATCAGTATCTCAGGGATAAAGAAGAATGGAATGAAAGGCTAAGGAAATTAGGGAAGAATACCACAGAGGTAATACAGTTTTACTGAAGCTGATACCAAGAAGAACACACATGACCTTGTCAATTGTTTTATCAATGACTAAGACATACAAAGTAAAACAAAATAAGCAAAGAATGTCATTCAGTTAGGTCACAGTTTTATGAATGTATCTAGCAAGTCCTGGTTATGAGTTGAAGTACAGTTCTTGATTCCTACTTCAGTCATGTCTGTCTGGTAGAAGGATGCTTCATTTTTCTGTGTGTCTGAAGCAAGTCCCTGAATTGTTCTTGGTGATAAGTGATGGCCAAAATGCTTTCCTTAGTTTGAATTTGTAGCTGCTTTTTCCTCAGTCTGTGCTCATTTCATGAGAAAGCAAGGCAAGTGCAGGCAGCTGGCTATTATATGATACTGTGCATCTGTGAATCAAGAAAGTTGTCTTTACTACTGAAAGTGAGGTAGTCACATGTGTAATGGAACTCAGATTCTGAGCTGAGGTCTTTGATTTGTATGGCAGTAGGCAGCTGAGCACCACACAGCTGCTTGCTTGCTCCCCGCCCTGCCCAGTGTGATGGGGGAGAGATTGTGAAGGGTAAAAGTGAGAAAACTTGTAGGTTGAGTTATAGATGATTTCATAGGTAAAGCCAAATCTGCACACACAAGCAAACCAAAATTAGGCATTCATTCGCTACTTCACATTGGCAGGTAGTTGTTTAGCCATGTCCAGGAAAGCGTGGCCTCATCACACATGATTGCTTGGGAAGACAAACGTCATAACCCTGCATGTCCCCCCCCTTCCTTCTTCCCCCAGGTTTTATTGCTGAGCACAATGTTGTATCGCCTGGAATATCCCTTTGGTCAGCTGGGATCAGCTGTCCACACACAACCTACTCGCTGGTGGGGTGGTGTGAGAAGCAGAAGAGCCCTTGATGCTGTGTCAGCAGTGCTCAGCAGTACCTAAAATATCCCTATGTTAGCAACACATTGGGTCTAATTATCACCATTGTAAAACCGGCTGTTTTAGTAACCTGAAGGCAATATATTGATCTGAGAAAGCCTCTCTACTGCTTGTTAATTGTAAAATCTTGTGTAGAATGGGTAAACTTTCTTTTTAAAATATTGCTGCATTAGTTTAGTGATGGACTGCAATAATTTGGAACTCTCATCTAATGCAGCTTTGATTTAAGAAAGCCTTCCACTTCTTTTAATACGGAAATTCATTAAGTATACAGTAGTGTGAGAGCTAGGTCATTCTCTGAAAGGACTTGTAATTGTACTCAGAACAGCTGAAAGTTTATTGTCTGGCTTACAGCAGTCACCAAGTGCAAAAACCCATGTATTTATAAGTTCTGTCTAGGAGAATGCTTCTTGTCTATCTCCAGAAAGATTGTTTTTTATGAGAAAGATCTTTTCTTCCAAGTGCATTGTAGTGTCATACAGTTGAAAACTATTAATCTGTGAAAGGAGATTAAAGGGAGCCCTTAAAGGGCTGTAAGGGAGTATTTAGACATCCTACAGGTGTTGGAATTCAGTATCTGATTCTTATTGCCTTCCTCAAGGGTTCGAGTGCTACACAACAATGATCTCTAGGAAATACGTGGCAAAAATGCAGCTTGTGTTTGTGTAACTGAGTCTATAAATCTCTAAAGATTTTTCTGTGTTTAGGAATTCATGTTTCCTCAGCTGACTTATCTAATCAAACCTATTTAGGGAGTTAAGGTTTCTTCCTTCTATTTAGTTTGTCATCCCATTTGACCTTTGCATTATGTTTTTAGTATTCTTGTGTAGAAACAATTTTGCTGCCATAAAATAACAAAGAGGAAAAACACCTGGTGAGGATTTGTTGAGGTTCTTCCATCTCTGAGGGATATTTGACTTGGTCAGGCCTTATCCAGTTGAGTTTTGAAAGGACGGAAAATCCAGAGTTCCTCTGAGCAACCTCTTCCACTGCTTTAACTGCATGATCTGACCTTCCTTCCCTCCGTATCCCATTGGAGCTTCCTTTGCTGCAACCTGTGACCTTTGGTTCTTTGGAAACCATGATTTTGGCATCTTTGTAACCACCTGTTAGGTAGATACTGCAATTACTAGTTCCTTCTGCCCCCATAGATACCCTCCTTAACCTCTTCTTCCAAGCTGAAAGAACCCGGCTCTGTCAGCTTCTCCTTTATGGGCTCAAGTGCCTTAACCATCTCATTAGCCATCCTCTGCACTTTCTCCAGTTTGTCAGTATTAATGGCTTTAAATTGAAAGTGGGGAGGTTTCGATTGGATATCAGGAAGAAGTTCTTCCCAGAGAGGGTGGTGAGGCAGTGGAGCAGGTTGCCCAGAGAAGCTGCGGATGCCCCATCCCTGGAAGTGTTCAAGGCCAGGCTGGATGAGGCTTTGAGCAACCTGGTCTAGTGGAAGGGGTCCCTGCCCACGGCAGGGGGGGTGGAACTAGATGGTCTTTAAGGTCCCTTCCAACCCAAACCATTCCATGATTCTATCCATGGGCAGGGGAGGAAACTGGGCATACTATGCCAGAACCCAAATACCGAATAAATACTGAGCAGAGGATTAGGGTGCTGCAGGGGTACTCTGCTGACTCATGTTCAGCTAGTTGCCCACCACTAACCCAGCCCTTTCTCTGCAAAACTGATTTCTAGATGGTCAGTGCCCAGCCTGTACCTGTGCCTGGCATTTTTCTGTCTCAGATGCAGAATTTTGCATTTATTGGTCTTCATGTGCTTTTTATCAGCATATTTCTCTAGTTTGTCAAGACCATTCTGAGTGGTAGTCACACCCTCTACTCTATTGATCCCTCTTCCCAGTTCGGTGTCAGTTGCATCTTTTAAGTTATTTTTCATTATGTTTTGTGAAGTATGAGTTACTGTTATCTTTATTCCACAGATGAAAGATTAGTGCATTAAATACTACAGGATTTATTCAAAACAATGTTGTTTGCCAAAACTATGTGTTGAACACTGGCCCAGTATGTCACAGGGCTGTATTTTATCCACTAAACTATCCTTTGTCATAGTGATGGCTCTTGGGGAGCTAAGAAATAGATGGAGAAACGGTCAGGTTAAAAGGTTGTGCTCATAGGTAAGGAGTATTACAGGCTTGCCTGAATCTGGGTGGAAGAAAGATATCTATCCTCTTGATGAGGTATAAAGTTCAAAGTGTTTTTTGGTTCTTTGCACTCTGAATCTGAAGGTCAAATTGGAGTTCGTAAAAGACCTGTCCAGGATTGATAGCCATTCTTCTGAAAAACATTAGATAAGAGAAAGAGTGCTTTTTTTCTCCAGGAAAAAAAAAAAAAGTCCCTAGCTTTTAAGCCCTCATTGAAGCATTTTTCTTACTCACCTCCTACCTTTTATCCAGTAGCTTTTTAGGGATTGTTTGAAGAAATAAAAACCCCAAGTTTTTGCTCAGTGTGTTTTGTTTATATTCAGATCTTTTAATATTATTTTCTTTCATTAAACAGAATGAGATGGACAGGAATAAAAAACCTATTGCTGTTACCAGGCTCCAGCCAGAACTACACACAGAAATACAGCCCTGTAATACAGGTGCAGAACTACCCAAGAAGGATGCCTTTACTTCTACAGGAGGTTATGAAGAGCTGCGAAATAAAAGATGGCTGGAGGAAGACAGGTATCGTAGGTTAGAAGATGAGATTGAAATAAGAAGTCGACTAATGACTAAACAACTCTATGAAGATTTGGATCTTCCCAGTCGAAGACATCGTGGATTTGCTAGCCCATCTGTAATTCCTATTAGGAAGCATCACAGACTTTATCAAGATGGTGATTTTGGTAGAAGGTACTACAGAATGGACTATGATCCTGAGGCAAATGAAGAAACAGACCCTAGATTTAGATGTGAAAGCACTTATGACAGAAAAACTCCCCGTTTTTTTAATGCTGAAAGGTATTATTCATTCTGTTTTCTCCTTTATTTCTGTGGTGTGTGTTGACAGCCATGGTTTGGTCTCACTGAAAATTAGACAAGTTTCGCATGTGTAAGCAGGATTTTTGTACTTACTTTGAAAAGGAACTTTGTAATAATTTTTAGAAAAAATATTTTATAATTGGACCAGTACCTAAGATCTCATACATCAGGGAGCATTTTATACATTATGGCAAACCAAGTTACTAGAGAAATTACCCCAGAAGAAGGCCACAATTAATTTTTTATTAAGTGTAGTTTGGCAGAAAACATGTTAATATTTGAGAGCAAAACCTGTGCCGGGAACCCAGGATTGCATGTAATAGTTATAGCAAGTCAATTTTTAGTTCAGATTCCAAAATTGGTTTGTTTCAATTTTTGGTACATGCCACTGTGTGTTAGAAATGTAAAAAATGTATTTTTAAAAGATCCTCTTTTTTTCCTTTGGCTTGCTAAATGGCAGATTTCAAGCATCTGCATAGTTGAACCAAATCCTGATGGTGTTAATAGGTGCTAATCTCAGTAATAACTGCACAGTTTGCATCAACATTTAAGAAAACCCAAACCAAACGAAAGAGGGTGCTTTAGATAAATCATTTAGGAGGAAAACTGATACCATGTACTGCTCATTATCAAGTTGTCCATACTGCGTTAACTGATAAAGCAGTTTGGTTATTTTGACTTAAATTGTTCATATTTCTCTTCTAGCTTGCTCATTGAAAAAAAGAAAATGCATAACCGTTCCAATCATTCAGGGTTTGGCAGCCTGGCCACCTTCAGTTACTCCATTGTAAGAACTGTTGCTTTCAGAAATCACATGGGATGTGGTGTGAAATAGTATTGAACTTGAAACACGTGGGTTTTATACAGCTAAATTCAAATGAAATAAAGCAGTAACATTTCTTGTAAATAATTTTTTTAAATTGCCTGAAAAGTGTTCAACGATTTACAGATATTTTTAGACAAAATAAGCACTTTTTTTTTTTCCCCTAGAACTAGCACTTCTAGAAAAAACAGAAGGCGAACTGTACTACTCTCAACAGCATTAAATATTACAATCATGTTTTGTTGTTAAGTGCTGGTGGACTGCTTAAATGATCTTTTGAGTCATTGTTTACAGGGATAATTTTCTGGATGGTACTACAAATTAATAACTGGGAAAAACAAACCCTAAATGTTCTTCTACTAGAAAAGTGTTTCCTAAATTTAATGCTGTCCTGGTTCTTTTCCCGTTTCAAATGCCAGTAGACTTAAAATAACTTCTAGAAACCAAACTTAGGATATTCTTTCTCAGACTTTTTAAAAGAAAATGGTCAAGAAATTAAGTAACTGTGGAGAAAATTAATTGTCTGGAAGCATTTGGGAGATGCAGACTGAATAACTGGGTTATTTCAGAGTTTCAGATTGTATGTTCAGATGTACTTCTAAAAGCATGTACTTATTCATACAGTGTTTCTGAAAAAGACTAGCAAATGGAAGCAGTGGTTAAATAGATGGCAGGAGCAAGATTGCCCATTTTCTGCTGAGTGAGGTTCAGAGATGAGAATGCAAAATACAAAAATTGTTCCATCCTGTAGTGTAATCTTGATAGAAACGAGCAAAGGAAGTTTTAGGGTAGAGTCTTCTTGTCCTAAAACTTTTCAGAAATAAAAATATTAGAAGTTAGATTTGGTATCTAACAAATATAACCAAATTGTCCGTATTTTGGAGACTAAGCAATCTTAATCCCCTGTGTTAATTAACGCCCAAAAGGATTAATGTCCTCTTTTTACTAGATAGCTGTTTGCCGCTGTCTAATGCAGTTGGAGACAGAGTCTGATATTTAAATAAAAATGACCATTTGATAAAGTCTGAGTTTACTTTTACTTTACTCAAAGAATATATACAGAATTATATATGTAAAATACCAGCAAAGATGGTGTCTGTACTGACAGTAGGCAGTATCATGTTGAATAGAAGTCTACTACTTAGTTTTTCACAGAAAATGCTGCTTATATAAATGTCTGTGACCAATATATCAGTAGGGAATTAATTGCTTTTTTTGCCTCCGCAAAAAAAAATGGTTCCAGTCTTCTTTTAAAAGAAACTACAGGAGATAGTCTTATCTTCGCTATTGGCAAACTTGTTGCATCTTCTTAAAAGAAGTTGCTGGACCAGCACCTGAATGGCCTGAACTTAAATTTGTACATAAAATTCAGGTTTGGTTTTATTGGTGTGTATTTTCTACTTAGCTTAATTTTTATTGAAAATTACACTTTTTTTTTAAATGAAATGTGCTTTGTTATCTAGCACTCTCTCTCCTTCACAAGGAGTTCCACTTCACCTTTTATGGACTATATTAGCTTTCCCTTAAAGAGGGAGAAATTCATCTATTATTTACTGACAGCTCAGCTTCAGGAGAATTTTTAATTCTACATTTCAGGCAAAGTCAACTTTTTCAGAACACATTTGAATCATGACAGTAACTAAATTCATAGGAAGGAATATTTTTGTTTGCTGTACTGACATTTTTATGTTTTTAAATGGGCTTTATTAGTTTGGAGAGCCAGGAGTCTGTAACGGGACTTTTCAGAAAGGTTTCTGTATTGACAGAGGCACAAGGGCTGTGGCCTACTTCACTGAAGAGAAACAGTGTGACAGGAAAGTGCGAGGAAGTGCAAAATGTATTGTTTTTTTTTAGGATTGGGATGCTTTAGTCCATCCCCAGCAGCCAGGGCTGTCCTATAAACAGGATCCAACAGCTTCTTGATTGAATTGGGCCAACACACCTGGGCCTGCCTTTCTAAGCTTGCTGCTTTTTACAGGAAAGGTTGCCTCTTGAATCCCAACGTTTGTTTCTTTGTTTCCTCCCTTCATCCTTTCATCATGCTATGGACTAGGCTTTCTATTTTCTGACTGTGTTTCAGTCTCAGGTGACCAGCCTTGTAAGTAGCAGGTTGATCATTGTCAAAAAGGTGATCTTGATCATGAAAGAATACCATGTTATGCCAAGGGGGTGGATGTCCTCCTTTCATGTTGTTCTTGTAAAGATGCCCAGTCAACGTTTAATAATCTGCTTGCATCCTGTTGACTTTGATTATTGGCTTTTATTTAAATTAGGGATGGGCAGAGCTGTGGATCTTTTTACATAAAAGAATAAGGTGGGCTTTTTTTTCTGTGTTTACCTAAAGGCTTGTTTGTTTGCTTACTAGGAAGTCTGTCCAGCTCTGGAAAATACGTAGCTTTGTTAGCATCTATTAGTATTTCTTTTTTATTGAATATCTACTCTTGCCTTATTTTATCAAGGCAACTTGAAGTCCTCATTAAAAAGAAGTTAATTTACAAGGCAAGAAAAGCCTGTACATTCAAGTATCCCAGATCTTTTCAGGAAAAGCTCCCTTGTGTCCGTATAATTTTTAGCATTTCTGCAATTATTGAAAGTTTCAGTTATACTACTTCATATGTAGATGATTCAAATTTTCGCTCCTGCATTTTTGTATTCAGCATGTTACCTGTCTTTTATTGTGATCAAATGTCACCTCTTTTAGATGGTATCAGGTGCATAGTGAAGGGTAGTTTGTCATCAAAGCAGCTTTTCCTGTCTGACTGAACTGTTTCACCAGACCTGCCCAATAGTTGTGTGCTGACATCTGTTGTAGACTTGGTTGGCTCCTGGGGATTAAGAGCAGCAAGATCTGTTTCAATTAATGCAGTGTGGATGCTGAATGCCTTTCAGCTCTCGGAACTCTTAAACTGGGCTCAACAGGTAAAGGTTGCATGAAAGCAGGCTTGGGAACTCAAACCCCAGACGGTGAGCTGCCCTGACAATGCTGGCAAAGTGAGTTATTTCTGGACATTCTGTGAGACCTTTTCAGAACTGGTTCTGCCCCCCAGTGTGCAGTCAGGCTGAGGATCCATTAGCACAGAACGGCTGGACCTTCCATTTCAGAGTGGATGTTTTTAGGCAAGCATAGCTGAATATTTTTCTATTTCTTTTAAGGCCCTGTCTGGATGGAGTGGTGAGAGATCTACCTGCAGATAATGAAGACGAATTAAAGGAGAAAGCACATGTGCAGCAGATCTCGAGAACTGCAAATTCTAGGTGTGGTACACAGTGTATTTTTCTGGTAATTGCATTACAAAATCATGGTGAAAAGAAAATGTTTATTTAAAAACCCTAATATGTTGTCTGAAATGGCTGATAGTGTTTTCTGCAGCTAGGATATAATAGAACAAGAAAAAAGTGTTTCCTTTGAGAACAGCTATTGAAGCTTGAATGCATGTTTTCTTTTTGAAACAGTAGATCTCTGTTCTCCAGCTCAAGACTTTTAATAAGTAGAATAACATGGAATCCATTTTTGATAGTAGTTCTAAAATTCCTTTTTTTTCCCCCTCTTGTCTTGGTTTTGCAAGTTCTGAAGTCATCCGAGTGGATGAGGCAGAAGCAGAACACTTGTAAAGCCCTTACGTAAACTCTTGACAGGCGCCATTCAGTCTGTCAACGCTGCTGAAGTGCTCACCTGAGTCAGTGTTTCTGATGGCTTCAGAAACCGCAGGCAAATGAGAACTGTGAGAAATGCCTTTTTGCCAGGTGGTTTCTTCATTTGCTTGTGATACTTCTTCAGATTTGAGGCAAGCTGTTTGTCATAAACGTATCACATAATGATGTAACTGCATCTATCATGTTTCACATAGACTGCAGGTGAATTCTCGAGTTTGATCTTTCCATTTTCTTTTTTTTTCTTTGCCAGAAATCAGGTACAAATTAGTTCTTCAGCTAATGAACAGGCCCAGTCTGCAGCTGGAAGGCCATATGCAGCAGCAGGCCTTGTTCTTGGTATGTATAAAAACCTAACTAATGACACTGACTTAGCCTTTCTTTGCATGTTTTATTTTTTTGGGCATAATTAAAAACTAGAAAAATTAGCTTTTTCTTTGTGTTAGTTGTCCTCAGGACTGGTAAATAAATACTTAAAATGAAAAAAGAAAAACATGTTTGTTTCCTTCCTTAATGTAACAGGGCTTTTTGATTAATTTTTAAGAGCCCAAGTTTCTTCTTAGATCTCACTAAGAGTTTAAGGCCTAGAGATACTTTTAAGTGTGGTTTGTTGTTGGGTTTTTTTGGGTTTTTTTACAAAATTAAAATATAGGAAAAATATTAATCTGTCTTATTAAAGACACAACTTATTGAATTTTAATTGCAGAAATATGGGAAATGGTACTGTTCACAACCTTATGCAAGAACAAATGATTCTGATCATCTCTTACAAGTTAAATGTAGCCATAAAATTTTTCAGGGAACATTATTACTGAGCATAATAGAGAGAAATACTATTGACAGCATAGCGTTCCTAGCTAAATTCAGAAAATGATAAGGCAGGAATAAAAGAACTGTAGTAGTTCTACAGATGGGATCCTTTGAAGGCAAGTTAGGTTTGAATTGTGGAAAAAATGACTTAAGTTCTCCGAAGAACTTGTATTTATTTTTACATTTGTGCTTACTAGATCTTCGGTGCTATATGTGGCACATCATTTTTTTTGGAACTGTTCAAAGGCAGCATTAAAACAGTGGTGTTGTAATGGTCAGTCTCTGATCTGTTCAGTCATCTCATTTGTCGTAACTTGAGTACGCCAAGTTGTGAATTTGTTTTCCTAGCCGTCCTGGTTAGGAGAAGAATATTGTTAACTCTCATGTATAAAGATTAAGTAAATTTTTTGAAATGGGAAGTGATTTCAGACGCCCCCAGAAACACAAATCATGAGATTCTCTTGCACGTTTTGGTCACTTTACAGTTCAAGCACAATAATTGAATAAAAAATTCAGTCATGTGTCATGATTTGTTGTTGTTTTGGGTTTTGCTTTAGTTTCTTTGCAGCTTCCCTCTCTTTACTGTTCAGGTGTACTTCAGTGGATAGCCACAGTCACTTTGTGTATGGGAGTATGTTAGGAGTCCTTGTGTCTGATAGTCATACTGTATGGAAAGTGGTGATGATGGTTTTTTCTTTTGTTCTTAAAATAATAGAAGACTCTATGCATCTGGTGGGGGAACTACCACAAGTTGAAAGTTTTTTGGGTTCCTTAAAATCCATGTGAGATGTTATCACTGTTTCCTTTTACATATACCTATCTGCAAATACTTTGCTAATTCTTAGTAGTCGTGGGAACCATCCTAAAAGTGGAGCAATTTGTTTTCCTCCCTGTGGGTTTGACTCTCTCCAGTTTTACATTTCATTTTGATCCGGAGCAGTGCCTCATAATTTTAGTGCTGTAGTGTATCTTCCTTAGTTGACCATTAGAGAGAAAAAACAAAAGTAACTTTTTTTTAGTTGCTGGTGTATCACTTGGCTTTGAAATTTGTAGGTTCCTGACTATACAACAACAGGCAAACTAGGAAAATATTAATGAAAATTTTAGTAGTTTTGATTATCATACTGCAAACACACTCTGTATTAAAACTAGATTGGTGTTTTTTTTTTTTAGTCGGTAGAGATCCAGTGTTCTTATGCACGTTCCCAGATCATTTATTCTGCTGTGTTTAGTGTTTTGAAATGACTGAAATGTGAGTGATGTTTTTGTCCAGCACCTTCTGTGGGTTTTGTGGAGTGTTTACACAAATGTGTGGTCATTTCCGTTAGGTGATCAGGACCGAGAACTTCTCCAAAAGAAAAAAGAGAAGTACAGGCAAGACCTGATAGAACAGATGGCTGAGCAACAGCGAAATAAGAGACGGTAATGGAAAGTTACTGTATTTTTCAAAGATAATGGCTGAAATTTAAAGGAATTTCTTGAATTCAATGTGGTAAGAATAAATTTCATAACTAAGGAATTTCAGCTTGCTAGGTAATGCTGCATCCAATTAAACTCACTGGCTCTAGTTTTTAATAATACAAATTATTTGTTATCTAGTTTGTAATAAACAAATTCCCTAGCTTTCAATGGAATAAAGGAAAAAAAAGGTGGGTTTTTTCGTTGTTTTAAAATATGATTTTTAGTTTCTTAAGGGTAAAGAAGGTCTAACTGAAGTTATCTTTTTTTTGCTGGTAGGGGAGTGTCTAATTACTTTGCAAAGTTGAAAATGAATCTTGTTTTGCCCTCAAGTTTAGGAAAGGCGACTTTTCACTTCCAAAGCACTTGATCATCTGGTTTATGCAGAATAATAAGTATAAATTTCTTGCTTGCCTATTATTTTGCTGAATGATAGTGTGGACACATTAAAAACACACAGTGATATTAGTGAAGGGATAAGGAATTAAAAATAAGTTACTATTGATGGTTTCACTGTGAAGACAAACTGTACACGCTGAACATACCTGAGCCCTGAACTTACAATATAGTACTTATTGCTCTACTATTGAATAATTAATTTCAATATGTTTATTATAAGCTTCTTACTCTAATGTGAGTAAAGATAATTTTTGAAGAAATGCCCTGAAAGATTGTAGTAAAAAGCAATGTGTTAGTTTGTCCTTTTATGGTAGTTGGATTTTTATTAGGCAGAATAGATGATAGATACTTCTGAGAGTTCTGTTTATTGTCAAATAATATGGAGTATCTTTGATCCCTGACTCCCAAAGGAATCAAGTGGAATCATGTATGTTATCCTGTATTTTTCGAGTTCTTTTAACTACAGAGTTGAGATCTGTCCTTTGAAAGAATGAGAATAGTTGTTACTGCTTTCTGATTTAATCCTTTTTGTTTTCATTGTTTTAAAACAAAACCAGTGAGAAGGAACTTGAGCTCTCAGTTGCTGCTTCTGGAGCTCAAGACCCAGAAAAGAAGGTAAAGGAACTTGTGTTTTCTTTCACTTTTACAGACTTATTTTTATTACCCATACACTATGGTTGCTCAGTCACAAAATTTTGTAGGGCTTTTATAAAATTATAAATGTCATGGTTTTTTCTAATAGGGCATTAGTGTAGAATAAAATTGAAGTTAAGGATGATAGGGCTCTAACTCATTACACATGCTTTCAGCTTGTTGGGAAAATATTTTCATGGAAGGTATTGAACCTTTTCTTTTGCTGTGACCACGTGGAAATTATCTACAAGGAGTGTGTATCACGGACAGAATGCTTGGCGTCCCGTGGTAGCCTGTACATGCACACGTTACTAAGCTTTCTTCATGAATGTAAAGTATACTGCAGGAGGTTGTTGCTGTTTTTCAGTTAAAAAAAAATCCAGTTGCTTTGCAGTCAAGTTGATCTCATCGTAGCAGGTTTTAATTTCAGATTAGTAATTCTTTTTTAAACTGTCAGATGTAGCGTTCAGGATTATAAGCATTTTTATAGGATTTTGTCAAAAGCAAGATGTTTAATAGTGTTGCTTATAAGACTTAACGAAGAGTTACTGGTCTCCACTTCCTTAGTAAGGTGATTATTGTACTAAGAATTTTGATTAGCATGCATGAAGGAGTAGACTGTCAGTGCTAGTAACGTTCGTAGCAGTCTGATTGTCATAGCACTAGTATGATTTGCATGTGTGCCTGCTGAGTGCCAAAGCCACCGCATCTTGGGTGCAGTAGGGATCTGCTGTTGGAGATGAAGGATGGGTAACTTTCTCAAGCAAGAATAAACTGGTTATTAACTTGACTGGTTACCAGTTTAAATTCTCAGTGGTGCTGGGTTGTGGGGGAGGCTACAACTCATGAAGAAATGTGTGTCACTTCTGGAGAGGTCAACAGGGGTGAAAGGAGCTCTTATTTTACTAGAAAATGAAGCTGGATGAATGGCCATAAGGTACTGTAAGTCAGTATGTGAGGCTGGAGACTGAGAATGCATGTAGATAAGCAACAAAGCTGAACCCAAATTCTTACTCCTGAATGGGGAAGGAGAACACTGACAAGTGGTCTGGCTGCATGTTCCTTCTCTCCCTCCTTAAAATATCTGTGGTGCGTGTTTGATCCCTTTTGCAAACTGATTCAGCTTGGTTAGGTGGCAAAAATCTGCATCTTTTTTGCTGCTTTACTTGGCTTAGAGCAGTCAGTTGACTAATCAGGGATTCAGATGCTGAAAGGGAGAAGGATGGAGGGTACAGCTGGCAGCCAGGCAGGAAAAGAGGAAAGACTGGGTGGAGGATGCTGGCTCTCTTGGCACAGCAGGCTGTAAGGTCAGTGTAAACAGTTTGCCTAATCAAAGCTGCCTAGGCAGAAGCACGCTGTGCTGAAGCACTCTACACGCAGTACGCATGTCAGTCAGACTGAAAAGTGCCTGCTGTAGGAACAAAATTACATCCAGAGCAAATCCAGGGCATGTATAATGTTTTAAAACCGTTAATTTAGCTGAAAACCTTCAATTAAGTAGACTTGCTACATTCATTAAGAAGCAATCACTGTTAGCTTTAAATTGCCTCTCGGGGAGGGATTCTAATTAGGTAGATTTCTTGATTAATTACAGGTTGGTTAAATAGCAATGCCTGATTAAGGATCTATAAATGTGGGCTGTAGTATATACTGCTTGTTTAAAAGAAAACAATCCCCAGGATGAACTGAGCACCATAGTCACATCTGAAATTAGCTACAGAGCAGAAATCTGGGGCACTTTATGAACAGTTCACATCAAACTTGTTAATGAGAGAGGCTGTTTTAAATATTCTCCTGCCCAAGACAGTGGATTTGAAGATAAGTAAAAAAACCCCAGTCTGAAGACTGCCTTATAATTTTTAATTGCTATAGCTCGTATCTGTTATCTGATTTTGTATTCGCATCTACAAATCTGGTTAAATGTTCTAAACAAATTTTCATGTCTAGTAGATTTTGAGAATTTTAATCTTAATGCTGTAGTTTGTGACTGGTGAGTGCTAACTGCCTTGTATATACTGTCTTGCAGCTAAATGATGAGGAGGTAAAGATTTAATATTTTGCTGAAATACTTCCATATTGTAGGGTGTATGGTTTGCTGTTAGATATTTAATATTTAGCTGGTTGCTGGTGTTATACTTTCTCTGAATGCATGTTAATTCAAACATTAAGTGTTAGGATCAGTAAACTCAAACCCAACATCTGTTGTACTTACACAATGTATGAATTCTTTGTGGTCTTCTATCATATTGACTCATTTAAACAAACACTAAAATACATGTGCATAGCAGCGAGTATAAGGGCTTTCTGGGTGTGATGGGATAGTTCTAAAACTGACTTGCATGCTTTTGCATCACTTGCATGTTGTCTTGGACTTTTTTTTTTTCCTGAGGCTGCCAGTTATCAATAAACATTTTCTACTTAATTTGGTGTTTTTTTTTGTTTTTTTTTTTTGGTAATTGTTGTGGGTGCAAAAGCTAATAGAATCAAAGGAACCCCAAATAATGAAATAACAGTATTTCAAGGAAATGTTTATTGGCAAAAAGTCTCAGCGTGTGGTTTTTCTTTTTCCTGATGGTGAGCTATTTTAGCTTTCAGGGAGGTGCGTAGGGGGGTATTTTAGAAACTTTTCCTATCCATAATATGATATACTGCCAGTGTAAGAAACCGATGGCTGTAGGTAACCTGTACTACAGACTGCTGTGTCAGTACTTTTTTCTTTTCCCGTGGATAATACCTAGAACCCTATACTTCCTGAAACCTGCCACAGAGGCTGTATTTTAGAAATCTGTGATAAACATGCTGGATTTCCATGTGGTATTAGATTTCCAGTAATTCCTTGGGTGAAATTAAAGCAGTTGCTAGAAATTTGAACAGCTACTTGGGCCCCAGTGAAGGGTTTAACGCAGCTTAAATGGAGGTTCAGAATATTTCCTAGTAATAACAAAGCAACTGCTTTTTTTCTCTTTTGTCTCTCTTTTTTCCCCTTCAGCCAAATAGGTTGCAGCAGTTTGGCTTGACCATGAGACCTTCTGAAGAGAAAGTACCTCCTGAAAGGCCGAAGGTGGCATTCCAAACTCCAGTGCCCATCCCTTCAGCCCCTCCAGTGAATGAAGACGTTCAGTGGGGGCTAGCCAGCACGCTTGGAGAAATAGCAGCGCCCAGGTGCCGCACCAGCACGTTCGTTGCGCGTGCTACATACGCTTCGTCATCGCTACTAAGCGTGATATTACTACTGCGTGGATGTTTGCGTGGGATGAGGGTCGTGCTCTAGAAATGATAAAATACGGAACCACGTTGCGAGGGTGCATGGGCATGTGCTTGGGATGTGCACCCAGTAGCGTCCATGGTGTTAGAAGGCTGGTATGGCGTGAGTTTGGCCCCTGTCCAATTAAGTAATCTCTCAGGGTTCAGCCCAGGAATTCAGTGTAGGCCAGGACAGCTTCCACTACGCACCGTGGTTGAGGCTACACTGTGTTGGGAGGAAGAAGGAGCTTCAAGCCTGTGGCTAATGCTGCGCTGTACCGCTTGCCCTTTGACTGGAGACTAATCCTTGGGTTGTTTTATTTACTGTTAGTGATGTAACCAGTAAGTATCACTAACTGAACCAGTTAAAGAAGGCATGCTTGTTTTATGATCTTCAGATTTCTGGAATAGTGTGTGTTCATGTACTACTCCCTAAGGGAAGGTTAATTTCATACTGAGGCTTATTTTATCTTGTTCCTGCGTGGCACTAATGAGAGGACTTGAGCTGAGCTAACTCCAGAGTTTTCCTACAGTGAATTTTCTCTCTCTTCTTTTTTTTTTTTTTTTTTTTAAATTTCTTTTGAGGATCTCTATTTTCAGTAGTCCAAAAACCAAAAATGATGTTCCTTTTTTTTTTTTTTTTTTTCTTCAAGGCTTGCCCCGATGCCGCCACCTCCACCACCAGTTTTGACAGAAAACTTCAGAACACCTTATGATGATGCATATTACTCTTACGGTGTTAGGAATCCTTTGGATCCCTGTCTTGCATCTTGTGAGTAGATGATTTTAGATGGATTGATTGTTAGAGTGATTCAGGTGACTGCTTTTAATCTAGTTAAATGATAAATAATGTAGAACTAGTAACAGCAATTTAAACCCGTGTCTTAGAGGTGTATTGAATGAAAAGTAGGCTTTTTTTCAATACTGGTTTTGAATGAAGTAGTTTTTTCCAACTGCAAAAGGGGCCATGGCTTCCAGAAATCTTGTTCATCACTTGAACAAGCTCTAGTGGCAGCTACTTGGCTATTACTCCTCCCAGATAATTTTCTTGATAGTTTTGATAATCAAAACATTATTTTCTAAAACTGCTTAAATCATATTATAATTGATTACATGTGGAGGTGTTTTTACAATTTGAGATATAATTGTAAATATTTTTAAAGGAACTGTATGAACTTATCATACTTTATTTTAAGAAGTCCTTTTTTTATCTACCCTTTGTGATGATTTCACGAGTGAAACAACTGATGTGTAGGGGGGAGGGACTAGATTGTGTGGTGTTTGTTGTTTTTCTTTTCCTTTTTTTATAGGAAAAAACAGAAATATTTTTTTAAAAGTTGTCATGCTACCTTCATAGAAAAGTTAAAATCAGGGAGGAAAAAGGTTCCAGGGAGACGTTATTGCAGCCTTCCAGCACCTGAATGGGCCTACAAAGAAGCTGGGGAAGACTTTTTACAAGTGCCTGTAGTGACAGGACAAGGGGTAACAGGTTTTAGTTGAAAGTGGGGAGGTTTAGATTGGATATCAGGAGGAAGTTCTTCCCAGAGAGGGTGGTGAGGCACTGGAACAGGTTGCCCAGAGAAGCTGTGGATGCCCCATCCCTGGAAGTGTTCAAGGCCAGGCTGGATGAGGCTTTGAGCAACCTGGTCTAGTGGAAGGTGTCCCTGCCCATGGCAGGGGGGGTGGAACTAGACAGGCTTTAAGGTCCCTTCCCACCCAAACCATTCTATGATTCTACGATACTAATAATCATATGTAATGAAAAAAGGAAAATGGGAAGAAGAAAATCCCAGCCCAAACCAGCACACTTTGGCAGGGGGCTGCAGCTCCTATTTTAGTAAGAGCACAGAGGCCAAATGTACTGCATTTCTGCAGGAGGCAGTGGGGCTCTCCTCACAATATAAGACATGAGTAAAGCATGAGGGCAAGTGTTAAGTGAGTTATTTCTTTTTTTTAGTTCACTGTAAAATATGTTAATGAAGACGTGCAGATTTTAAAGAGATTTAGTTGAATTTAAGAAACAGATTTATACCTTGGCATTGTATTTCTTGCTTTACAGAGCATTAAGGATCAGTTGTTTGTTACAGAATTTGAGAGTCCAATTTGTAAATCTGCAGTCACTGAGCTTGAGCAGTGAGCTCTGTTCTTTTACGTAAGGGCAAATGTTTATATCTGAACATGAAAAAATTAAAAAAATATTTTTTTACTGTATAGATGGTACAGGCATGATGCCAATGCAACCCATGCCTAATCTGGATCCTCCTTTAGGCCAAGCCCCAGTGGACCAATCTGTGTAAGTATTATCTGTATTCGTATTCTCTGTTTGTACTTACTGCATTGATACAAGAAAGCTGAGGGCCAAGGAGTCTTATTACAAAGGCCTGTAGGGACAGGACAAGGGGTTACAGGTTTAAATTGAAAGTGGGGTGGTTTAGGTTGGATATCAGGAAGAATTTCTTCCTGGAGAGGGTGGTGAGGCACTGGAACAGGTTGCCCAGAGAAGCTGTGGATGCCCCATCCCTGGAAGTGTTCAAGGCCAAGCTGGATGAGGCTTTGAGCAACCTGGTCTAGTGGAAGGTGGCCCTGCCCATGGCAGGGGGGGTGGAACTAGATGGTCTTTAAGGGCCCTTCCAACCCAAACCATTCCATGATTCTATGATACACTTTTCATGTTGGGAGTATTTTGCTCACAGCAGATATGCCTTTGAAATAATGTGTGTTAAAGACAGCTCTGCAGATTTCTAATTAAGAGTTTCCATCTAAACAATAATTCAGTGAACTCCTGTTCTTACATGGATTTGTGAAAATATTGGAGACTATAAACTACCAGGCTGTGGAAAACAACAGCTCTTTAATATTTCAGGCATGATTTTTTTTTTTAAATTTTTTTAATCCCTCACCCACCCCACCCCCAGCCCTTGTGACATTTTCTTTATATGTGTGGTTTTCTAAATCAGAAGTGACATTGGACAGAGGAATACAGGAGACAGAAAAAGAAGCGTAAGAGAATTTTCTGAAGAAAAGCCAAAGTCTTCCAAAAAGGCAACATATCAGCAAGAATTGCAACAGCAGGTACTGAGTGATAAAGCTTCTGGTGCTTTCCTCTTTTACTTCAATGTAGAATGGCTGTAACTGTAGTACTCTTCCAAATATATTTAGTTTACAAGTAAAAAGCTTTCTTACCTCTCGCCCTCTTCATCACTTCCTCCCATTCCTCTGACCCTGCTTTAGTTCATTTTAGCTCTTCAGGTGGACAGGAAGCTCCTCAATCTTTTTGTCAGAGGCAGAGGGACTGTTAAGACTGACAGCGAGCAGATTAGTTCCAGGCATGAAGTTTTATATAATTATTGTCATAAGCATAAGAACCTCCGTCTTAAAAGCAATGAGGTGGTTTATCTCTTTTCAGCTTTCTTTTTAGTAGGCTAGACAAATTTCTTGAGTCTGCAGTTTTCCAGTAGATGTCCTAGTCCCCTACATGTTTTGGTGGCCTTTCGCTGCTACGCTTTGGGGGAGTTTGTATTTATAAAATGTATTTCACCATGGTAAGACACGTGATTTCAGAAGAGATTTTGCTGAAACCCTGTTCAGTGGCACTAATCTTTTTTTACCTTATTCTTCTTTATGTATTTCTTCAGTGGAGGTAAATAGTTGCTATAAAAATGGCTAGTTTTAATTATGATGGTGCATAGGGATGAAGGAGAGGCTGCCAATAAAGGTCTAATTAAGAATAAAATAAACAGTTGGGAATGTTGTCTGATACTGCACCTAGGCTTCTCTGAAGGCATTTTCTCACCACAGTCTTAGTAGTAAATTTTTTCTTGCCGTATGAGAGACTGCACAATCTGACCTGAAGGTCTAATAAACGTGAATTGATGCAGTCTTTCAAAGTTACTCTGCTGCTTATGGTTGGAAATGAACAGAAGGTATTCTGCTTTTTTTTTCCCTATAGACAAACCTGGCTGACCATTTTTATAAACAATTGTTAGGGATAGATGGGACTTTGTGTTGGTTTATCTCTCTTACAAAATTTCAGGACTGCTTGATAAAGGGTGACATTTATCTAGTGCATAGAAGAAACAACTTAAGAAAAATACGTTAGTATACTGCAGCTACCTGAATAGTAGCTGAAGTTTTAAAAACTTTGAATAGAAGCAGGACTGGGAGGAGTACAGGGAAGTT